TTCGCTTTTGGAATACCTATGCGTAGATAATATTATGCGAAAATGTGTAGAAGTAACATTATAGGTACACCACGTGCACGGTGACAATCAACGGAATCCATCACAGACAAAATAACGCTCAGACGATTTTGATACACGAAACGGAACCGGAAAGTTGGATGGCGAAGGGAGAGCGGTTAAATTGACGACGTTTCGTGACTTAACCGCAATTGCAGCCTTCCTGGTTCGTAAGTACGTAGTCGGTGGTGAATGCGTTTCGAATATATTTACCAGCACTGCAGCTGAGGGCTATGTTTATTATTTTGATGTACCTCAATGGGGTGCACAAAGATAATGGCGCGAAAAGTTCGTTATACAGAGGTCTGTCAATGAAAGACGATATTTGATTATTTCAGTTATAAACATACATTTGTAACTTGCACTGAATTTTATGTGAGATAAAAAAGTAAAAAATGAGAGAGATAATGATAATAATGTAAACTTGACATTTTATCTAACCATTATTTACCAAACCATACATAATTTTTGAAAATGTGGTAATTACTTAGGTGTCTATACTATGTTATAAATGCGCCTAGGCATTGAGTAATAGTCATTATTTTGAATTCCATTATAAATCATAACATTGTCTGCCTCCATTTTTGAAAATATTCTATTATTATGACTTATTTAATTTAGGTATAGTTATTGTGCTAAACTGTTGAATAAACTAATTTTTCACGGTAAATAATCACACAAATAATATAGGTATTTACAAAAATTTAGCTTTCAAGACAAGCTTGGCAGATGTTTGGCTTACGTGAACGTGACTCGCATTGCGCTCACCGACACCATAGCAGACGGCCACACAAGCCGCATTAGGCATTTAGTTTCGCATAAAAAATTTTAATTATAATGTAGGTTATACATATTAATATCACACATTATTGTAATTCATTTATAAATAAATATCGGCGTATAATAAAAATATTTGCAATTGAGGTAAGAACAGATTTTAGGGGCCCTACTAGTATTACATTTGCAAGCTTCATTAGGTACTCAAAAACAAAAATGGTACATCACAAAAAGACACTTATGAAAAATGGTTATGGAATTTAATCATTTTTTTAAACTCATACAGAACCAAGTAAATCATTTTTAAACTTGGTACAATTGTTAAATAACAAAACAATTTTAAGTTGTTATAGTAAGTTTGTAAAGTGGTCTATCTGACTTAAAAATGATGGCATATTATCAATCAATATTTTAAGAGGCCTAATATTATTTGCATAGTATTAAGCTCTTTATAAAATAATTACATTTTTTTTATATCAACTGTTGGATTTGGTATGTTTTGAAAGGTATATAAATGATAAAATTAAGATAAAGATAATAGATGAATTCGTCGTAAACATAAATTTAGATTTTTGTTTTTCGGAGGGTAGAAGATTATGTATTGTGTTATATCATATTTTGTTTTCGTTAGGTTAGGTTCCTTCGTTTTTAAAATTCGTTGTGTACCTAATGTTTATCTGCCCTGAGACTCCTGACCGTATAACTAAAATTGTTACACTTTAGTTTACAAATTGAAAAAAAAATGGACATTCAAATAATATCTAAACTCAAAAAACTCTCTGTATCCAAATAATAATATATTTATGTATGTGTATTGTGTATTATATATACGAAATAATGTAATATTCATTACTCCATATAACAGAGTATATAACCATTCAACCACTCACTAAAATACAAAAAAGTTTTTTTGACAACTCAATTTAGCTTGGTTAACTAGTTTGTTTTCTAGTAATTCCATATTATACATTTATTTAAATATAAAATACAAAATTTTTCTATTCAGAAATATATTTTGGTTGTAAAATCATAATTATTTAACTTCTGTTTATAGCGATTTCCCCAGAGGTAAAAAAAAATGTTATTCTATTTAGTATTTTTTTGTTATCATACATTAGAGGTGACAAGTTTAGTAAATGGTTTGTGTAGGAAAAATTACCGTAAATTCACGGGATAATAAATTATAATATTCATACAATACATTTTATTCCAGTTAACTTAGTTTCAATTTAACCAAAAAAAATTCAATTTCTTATTAGTTAAGCTATTTAAGTTATTGAATAACCAGATCAAAGCAGGGAAGGGAAATCGCATTGGTGCTTATTATTAGGTTCGTTTTACTAATCAATTATAAGCAAATTGAATTATACAAAATATCATACAGTTTTACAAAAAATTAAAACCATCACACCTTCTTAAGCGTCGCGCGTCGTAAGTAACTAGGTGATAAGAAAATTTATTTTTATTCTTGAAAAGATAATGTTTATGCACGGTAAAGTATCTAAAAACAAAATTTATTTTAACCTTTAAAAGTTTAATACGATATATAATATATGTGTGCAATGATATGGGGTTTAATAAAGGGTTTACGAAGACCAAAAAGTTTTTTTAATACTGCTGAGTACGTATAGTTTTAATTACGTAAACCACTTTTTAGTATTATTTCAATAATCATATTTACATTTTGTTTAAAAAATTACTTTAAAAAAAATAAAAATTCTAAGTACCTATACCCACCTATTTTTTAATGTTAACACACCGTCGTTGATGTGATAAATAGGTAATAATTCGACTTTTACTGTTTTAAACACAATACATTTTGGTGACTAAAAATGTTGGCTATTTTTTTTTTTTGCATAGGCACGCAATGATGGAATTTTATCTTAACACTCAAGGGGTACTAAAAAATTACTATTAAAATATATGAGACCGCTGTAAGCTTTGAAATGTTAGTATTGGATTCGAAACGTTACAATAAATGAAATTTATCTGGTATAATATATGACTATAATAATGGATCAAAACAAATAGTATACTGTCAAGCGACGTCTATAGTCAATTTTAGTACCTTTCTATTACATCCATGAGGTTGTGATTATTTTGAAGGTTTTATATTTGTATATTACTCAAATTGGTATGCCCAATCTATGATAATATGGTAGTAGAAATGATATAAATAATTCGTATCTCAACTTCAAAATTCATAACATTAAACATATTTGTTAATGCATGAATACCGAATAGCTTACTGGAGAGTGTGTTATAGATCAACACATCTATTCTCATACATCTCCAAGACTCTTAAAAGATTTATGCTGAGCAGAATAAGACCATTCTCAAAAATTATCATATCTTATTAATTTGGATTCAAATCCTTCAATTCAACAATTTACCAATTACGGGGCATGACCAAAATCATAATAAAATTATTTTTTAATAAAACAACAGCCTTCTTTTGTGTACAGAATTACGAAAAGGTATGGCATCAAGGTATTTTAAACAAACCAGGCACCAAACGTATTATAACTCTATGACTCAAAATGTATTACTACCTAACCAAACCTTCCAAATATGAATGGGGATAGACATATCTATAATATTCCCTATAATGGCAGGATTTCCTGCTCCCAAATATCAGTTCTGATTATGCACACTGTTTATATTTTAGTTAAATAAATATATGTATAATTTATTTAGTACTATATTATAATATTTTATAATTTGTACTACCAACGAACAATTTATTGTATACGGATAATTATACCGGTATCATAACTTAACAAAATCTGGAATATTTATATTAGCAACCCAAAAAATTGAAAATAAACAGTTTATCTAATACCAGAATTACTCACTAATTGGAAACACACGTTTAGGCCTACCAAGCAAAAATATTTACCTCAAGAGATACACAAACCCAACTCGAAAAATAATTATCGACTATGAATTGGAATATTAAAAATTAGTAAATACCTACTAGTCTTTCTTAATGAAAAACTAACCTTTAATATTATATACATAAATAAAACAATAAACCAGTCAGCGGTGTTGAGAATATAAATTAAATTGTGTACACCCTAATAAACTATAGCTCAAAACAACAAATTATTAAATGTTCATTAGTAATGTATTTTACATTAATAATATGACTACTCATACACATTAGACATGACAAGTATGAACTGTAGAATCTCAAACAAAAATTAAAAATCAATGGACAATAATAACGCATTCCTCAAAATAAATCTGAGCGCCCCTGAATTTATGGTTAAAAATCTTGAGAGTAAAGGGGACTAAAATGTGCTAACCTTTCCCTCCCAAAAAAATGTGCAGTTTTTTAGTTACGCCAGATTGAAGTCCCCACCCCCTCAAATTGATGTTAAAACTTCCTATGACCCTGATTAATATTTTCATATTTAACATACCCACAACTTTACCGGAATACCGTTCTTGTAAATTTGGATAAAAATCATTTCAAAAAATATCACTCAAAAATTAATTTAACAGTAGAAAAAATCTTCAAAAATCTTCACTGGAAAGTGTTGGGAATAAAACAAAAACAGCCAATTGAAAAAATGCCTTAAGATGTTGTGCTTTGTTCTTCATCAGGATCCTCATTAAAACTGATGTTTTGTAAATCGTATATATTTTTAAATGAATTACTTAAAGTCACTGTGAAAACATTTTATGTGTTAAAACAGTTAAGATAGTAAAAATAATTTTAAAAAAAAATGTTACCTAGTTAAATTTATAAAATGTACAAAACGTTGATGTTATTATATTATCATATAACAGTGTTCAACATTTTTATTTTATAAGGAACAAATATGATTTTAGAACAACTTGAAATTGAACTATAATAGTATTAAAGTATTTGACGGTGTTCGCGTATACGGCATAGCCTTAAGTCGGCTGACGTGTTTCCATATTAGCACCTAACGGTTATACACACCCTATAATATTATATGCATATTTGATAAAAAAAAAATACACCATTTACTTAATGTGCGTTAGATTAGAGAGTGTAATTTGACGCCAATTTTAAGATTAGTGTTTGGTTTTTGATATGATTTCATAATTATCAATACAATATGTAATATGAATTTATTTGCGTACATGGAGTGTGAGTCAGTTTGTACGTGTGAAAAATATTGAGGAAAACTTACATTATCTTGGAGAACGGAAGACCGGATATCCGTAGCATCGTTTTTGAGGTAACCTCCAGTGGTAAGTTTCTGAGACGCTTTCCCCATTATGATCATATTCTCGAATGACATGCTGTGTAGTTGCAATTTGCATGTAGTCTGAAAACATATATAATCACCCCATTAACAACTATTTATGTACCTATATTATAATAATATAGTTTGTACAACAAAAGTTACAACTTTCAAGTTTGTTACACGTTATAATATTATCGTCGTTACCTATATTAATTATTTTCACAAACAACCTTTTTGTTCAACTGTCTAGAAACCAAAACCGCTTTTTGATACAGAAAGTTGAGATGAAAAATTATAAAACTAATCGATAGTAAATTGCTTTGTAAATTATGTAATTAAGGGCTGGGTCTACCAGAAATGTTTTTAATTGAATACGATAAAATAGCTATAGTAGAGAAAATATAGTTGGTTTTTTTTTTTTTTACTTCCGGTTTAAAATCGAAGCCCCAGTAAATGTTAATTAAGTGGTACATAATAATCTGAACATTTTTAACCTTGTGTAGGTACGAACACTGAATATTATTCGAATGGGAATAGAAAATAAAAATTAAATCGATAGCTTTTATATTATAGAATATTTTTAATTTCAAACATACATTAAATGTTTATTAAACCAATAATGATCTACATCTACTTCACTTTTCAAATTGAAATTACAGAATAGGCACCGTAAATACCGTATACACATGCGATTTATCAAAATATCCAAAAATACATTATTATTAGAGTTTTTAAAAAACATATTAGGTTTTTAGAATATATTGTTACCAAAAACAAAAAAAAAACTACAAATTATCACGTTGCAGTCACACAATATCACATACCTACAAAACCAAATAACCTATCAACTGTCACAACCTCTAAGAAAACATTTTAGTATCACTGTACACTATAAGAAATATAATGGGTAGTTAATAAATACGAACTATATAAAAGTAATTTGTTTGATTTGAAATATTTATTTCCAGATATAAAAAAAAAAAATATGTATTTATATTATACATTTTGAAGATGTAAGACCTTTTTTTGTTTTCAAGGATATTACTGTGGAAAATTCAATTTACTCCTACAGAATTTTAAAACTACCAATAAATTGTTCTAACACAACTACGTTTAAGGTCTATGCAGGTGACTGAAAATGTTATTTAAATCTTTTCGACTCTAATATATTTTGTTAAAAACAATTATGACCCGTATAAAAGTAGCACATTCAACTAAAATTAAATAGGTCCATTTGTAGGTAGTTGTAGGCATAATGTACGTATACCTCTCAAACGCAGCTCTTGAAAATAAAATACTAATGAAATAAAATCATATTTGAATGAATCCTATTATTGTTCTATAACAGATATTTGAAACCTAGGATAAACTATAAAGTCATATAAAGATTGGCCATCTTCACTGCTGTTCGGCAAAATTATATTTTTGTCTTAATCAAGACGGTCGGTTAAAACACTTCACAATGGTAATATTATATTTAAATGCGTTCATGTTCGACTTTAACTTTGCCCATGTCAGAATTAATAATTTATAAACTTTGGAAATAAATTAAACATGAATTATTCACGTTATGTTTTTTTTTCGTTGGTGTTAAGTAAAAATAATATTATTAATTCAATTTAAAAGAGTATTTTAGTTTGATGATAAAAATACTATCATTGGTGGACCTATATGCTGACCTTCGCTGATCATATTATGTGTTTGCAATTCATACCTAATTGAAGCACTTTTACCACACATCAAAGGTCGTAATCAAACTACTGTTACATCCAACAATCGAGTTCATCCCAAATACGTTTCAGGGGGTAACATCACAAATATTGGTTGTTGTGGTGTTGGGTGCAACAAATATATCAAATGCCACTTTCACATCTTCTAATTTCCACACCCATGGAAATAAAAACAATTTTTTAAAACTAATTAATTTTGCCAAAATGTTTATAAATGTGGAAAAATTGTAATCAAATATAGGTACATTCTGTGAGCACATGAGAAATATGAGCTTAACATGACTATTTAATTACATAATATGTTGTGAAAAAATTAATTGATTAAACATCTATAAGACATCATATTATAAGAAAAATAACGTTATTAGAGGAGTTAAGCAAAAATAGCGTTTAATATTTCTTTAAAGGGATTGACATTGGTATATTGGATGGTGAGTAATAAAAATTGTTACACGGATACTAGTAACTACAAACAGTATTTAGAAATCTAAATTATTTTTTTTTCTAGTAATTGTCCGACATTTTAAAACCTAAAGTCAAATTTCCCATGGTTCTTATTTGGTTTAATTTATTATCCACACGAAATGTTTCAAAAACAGAAATCGATATTTGGCTTTTGTTTTCTTTCAACATAATGAAGAGCCAGAGAGGAGGTTATCAATTTAATTTCGTTCGGTTACACTGATCTTGAGGAACAGGAATCGTGTGTATTGGAGTTCAGGCTCAGTAATGGAATTAACCATTATAAGCACCCTACCCATTAAATTTCACACAAATTATTCATAAACAACAATAACAATATACATATTAGTATATTACACATACAATAGCATCTGTTTCACTATTTTATCAATATGGTAGAATAATGAGATAAGATCGACTACAACTAAACAGAACTTCTCCTCCAACAATATTTATTATCATAATGTCCATTATTCATAGGAAAAAAAAAAATATTTTGTAGTATAGCATATACATAAGTAATACGATAATATTTTTTATTTTTACATAACTAAAATAATTTTTATTTTATCGTTTTCCTGTTTCAGTAGTTCAGTACCTATATACAATGCTTGCCTCGCAGTGTTTTTTTCTATTAACCAAATTGCATCGAACCCAGTATTTTGAAATTGTATTGATTAAATATACCTTTTGGGTAAAACTAAAAAATATAAAAAGGTGGACAAGTGGGTAATGCTTTGCTGTGCAGTAATTGTCAAGCATGTCATTGTTATGGATGTATTATATTTATATTAATTTCTTTAGGTAAATTATTCTGAGTGGAAACATTGTGTCATCTTAGCATACTTGTATAAATAATCAAATTTAATAGTTAAAATAAAATAATAAAAATCAAAAATGTTATAAATAACAAAACTTTATGTTAAACTTTTTTTTGATGGAGGTAGAAAATCTTGTTGGAACCCTATATTAAAATAATATTATAAATGTCTTATGTTAGGAAGAAATGAAAAAAAAACTTTTATGAACTTATAACTTATGAAAAATTGCTATAAATAGCTCAAAAAGAATCAAAATAGTTTAAATATTTTTCAATGTATGGAAAATGTTAATATAAATATTTGGTGAAAATTTCAAGTGACTATAGTTATTAGTTTTTATTAAACACTTTTTTTTGGTATTTTTTACACTTTCTAAAGGTTAGGTTACTAACCTTATGATAGTACTAGGAATTTTTAATTTTGCCATATCTAAATTACCAATTAGATTTACTTTTTTACCGGAAAAAATACTGATGACGAGGATTGGAGAATTCAACTATTTCATATGTTGACAACCGACAGAAATACAAAATCAAAACATTTTCGAATCAATACATTAATCGTTTCACTCAGAATCTAAAATTAATTAAATTTTCGTTTCAGCGTTTCTTAAAAATTGAAAAGATCGACATTTTAAAAACTATTTTTTGAAAACCGTTTAAAAATTGATTTACTAATTTCTATATTTTTGTGATTGAATGAAAGAGTGGTGGAAAGATAAGTATATGAGATATCTTATAAGATGACCTATATAAGTATGTATAATAGGTTGTTGATCATTTATAATGATTATGTACATATTACTATAGTAGGTACATTGCAAGACAGAACACTAGCTGTGTATTCAAGATACAAACACAACTTTGACTTACGTACCTATACTAACTATACCCATCGGGTATCAAAACAATCCCATTCCTTATCGCTATTGATCATAGTAAATGTATATAGATATGACATTATTAGAACGCTATCATACCGCATAATAATTAATAATTATTATATATTATAACTTCCACTGTAATGCACACATAATAATATGGACCAACACTGCGATCTTCGGACTTTATATTTTGTAGTACAAGATAGTAAAACAACAACACTGTACATGTTATACATTGTGATACTCACGTTAAACACCATGTGCTCTTGTATAAACTTCTGTATGGTGTAAACGATGTCTTTTATCTCAAAGTTCATAATATCCAAACTTTTCAACAGCTGTTCGTCCTTTTCGCTATATCCCAAGAACAGAAACACTCCCGGTACAAGCGTATACGAACCTGTTTCGACAAATCACAAGTATCTCATTATTAAAATAATATTGTGAATTTTACCGCTTACACAAAAATATCAAATGCTGGTGGGTGCTGAATGGGAGTAACGCAAACCAAAGAAGAAAAAACATTTCTTTTTCAATGCATAAACATTTGAAACATAAGTGTTTCTTATCACTAGAAATACTAACAGGTGGGCAACAAAATATAATATGTTTTATATTTTATTTTATGAACAGATTATGAAAATATTTTTTCATTTCCTGCAATCATAAACAAAACCTGTTGAATATTTATCATCATTTGAGTTCATTTTATTTCTAAATATATTTCAAACCCGATCTTAATATATAACAGTGAAAGTTTATTCTATAGTACATATATATCTACGATAGCAAAATACTTTGTTTTTGGAATTAATGTTATAAAATATGCTGTGAAAATCAAATAACTACCTACACTATAATATGTATTGGTCGTTGCGAGTTGTAATGCGGTAGCTGTTCAGGTACTTAAAAGTAGTTTTTTTAAGTTGTATATAAGTCCTAGAGACGTTTAGAAAATTAAGATCATTTCTCGAGAAGTATATTTATAGAACCAGGATAACAAAAAGGACCGACATTATATAAAAATTATGGAGTTGAAAAATGTATCATCTTATAGGCAATAGCATTCGAAAATTCATAGTCAGCAGTGAGAGGTTACTAAATAACATAATTGCTTTCATATTCTAATACCCACAAAAAGTAATACCTTGATTAACCCGAACTGGCAATAAAATAGTTATGAGACGGGTACATAGATTTTCGATGTTAACCACAATTTCAACACTAAAATAATAACCATATATTTCGTCATAATATCATACCCATTTTTGGTCGCATACAAATAAATCTTCCGACGTAGCACATGCACCGTCCACGAAATGCGATATACGCTGGTGACTCGTGATGGTAGTACGCGATTTCCGTTTCACACGGTTCGACTTCCACGCAGATGGTTTGACAAGTCAGACTTTCGCCGGTCTTGCAGTGGCACACCTCGGAGCACGAGTTGTCCTCCAAACTGTGAAGCTATAATAACAAAAACAAAGTCAATAAAATCTCCGTTTATTATATTTTAAAGGGGTTTCCGCTATCCCGTATAATATACTGTGTAAGGCATAAAAGTAACTTTAACGGTAAATGTAATAGTTTTTGAAAAATATTTATTGTTTTAATTGTTTGAAGTTTGGTTTTCAGTTTTTTACACAATTATATTGTGTATATATAGTAATGTAAGATAATACTTCCAATATCATATAAATTTAGCTTTGAAATGACTAGTGATGAAATAGAACATCATATTGTAATATTGCACCTAACTGGCAAAAAAAAAAAATGACCAAACCAAGAAGCAATTGGTGAGATTTGGTTAAAAAGAATATTTTCAGAGAAATCTTAAATTTCAGAGTTGAAAAACTATTGAAAACTGATATTTTTAAAACCAATTACCAATTATTAAAATTTAATATTGTAATAAATGTATATATATATATCTAATTTATCTACTTTATACATTAATAAATTAATAAATATAAAAAATGAATTAATACTCATAATCAGGGCCTTATAACTTTGAATTAATTTTTTTTTTAAAAGCGCGAAATCATTGAAATAGCTTCTCAATCTGGTGGTAACGTAATATACGTATAGTATTATTAATGTATTAGGTTAATAAACTTGAACGAATTTATCAGGTATTGTTATTTATAACGTAGACCATAGCNAAGTGAAATTTCAAACATTCCCGCGCTCGAAACGAGATCTCTAAGACTTATCAAAAACCGTTATCACCTCCTAAATTTTTGTTTTTTAACTACCCATGACGACAACAGGAGTGACTTCTAAAAGTAATTTCAACGACATTGACGTCTGCATCGCCGACTCTCACAAGCTCCCGAGTTTCAGGACAGCGAGTTTCACAAGCAACTATGACATGATAAAACACAAAACATTTCAGGGGGGCAGATATGGAATTGCTGAAATCAAAATGAAATTTAAAAAAATACAAAATAATCTTTTATAATTATAAATAACATTAAGATAATAATTACCGAAATTCCTAGCCATCGAAGTATAAATTATGCCCATAATCAAAAAAACTTTCGTACAAAGAAGAAATGAAACAATACAATCAGACCAATTAAAAATCTCTAACTCGCAACCAACATCAAAAGAAATCATTCAATAAAATCACCATAATAAAATTATCAATTATTTCACAATAACAAGGCAATTAAAAACTATGAAGAAGAAATGAAGCAACAAATTACGATCTGATGAAATAACAAAGCAATTAAATGATTGCACAATATATCAATCCATAGCAAAAACCGGCAATGGTGTCCATACACAACACACAGATATTAATACATATTACAGTATACATGGACTAAGCATCAAAAGTTAAAATGATAATATACCAACTTATAAACTTAATAAGTTGCATTATATCTCTCGTTACACGATGATATATATTGCATCAAGAAACGTTAAGCATGTCCATACCGCCAAACCAATCACTGAACAAACTCGTACGCCAAGCCACTAGAATAATGCACATAAATACTCGAAGCTTTGGAGCAAATTACAAGTAGAAATAAGTACAAATGAAGAACAGTTACTTCAACAATAATATGCAACGATTACACGCCGATACGCGAGTTCCAATGCAATCCAATACGGTACACACGCAAATTAGTGAATTTCGAAGACAGCAGGTCGAACACGCGATGCTGAGCCACAGAAATCTAAGAGGGAACAGAAACGGTTACCTATATAATAATGGCCAAGCACAATAAATTGGCAACGCTCTCAGTGCCTCTCCGTGGACACAAAGCTCACATGACATAATATCAGGCAGAATTCGCCAATCACTAAAATTCGTGTTCGTTCGTTTATCATTAAAGTTCTTTTCATTTCGTTGATTTAATACACCCTGCATAGTCTTATTGATTTAAAAGTTTGAACGTATTACTCGTGATATTCTTTTATGCACTGACCATTCAAACTTTCAACCAAATCCTTTTCTACCATTACATAAACTTAATACAAACTATACATTTATTGAACCACTCCTTAACACTAAAAGAAAATCGTGAGGTTTCGAGAAGTAGTATCCTAGAAAGGCATCATCTAAATCTCATTGCTGTTAAGGCTTGCACTTTATAGTACATCCACAATATAATAACATCGAGTAGTAGACGGCTATTCCGAGAGGAAATCAGAACAGCTGCATGTTTAAAATTTAACATAATCATATTTTGAATGTATCAGTTCTTAACTATAGTATTAAATATAATAGGCTTTATCTACATCACTAAATGAATAAGCGGTGACTAAAATTATATATACCATATTAATAGTCTCAGCCATCCAATAAGAATATGAGAACAAAAAGTTTTAGCTAAGTGAAAAATATTTATTCACAACCGAAAAGTTCTATATTTCTGTATTATAACTTTTTATTTCTTAGCAGAATTTTTTTTCACTTAATTATTTTTTTTTACGTAAAGTTTTGATAAGTTCAAACCCAAACTAAAAAAAAAACTTGACGTAGAATAACTAAGGTAATTTTCAAATTAGGCAATCGTTAAAAATCATTAATTATGAAATAATAATATATTACAATTTTAAGTTCAAAACTGATCTCTCAAACAATTTGATATATTGAAACTGAACTTTTTATATTTAAGCCCATCAATTATATGGATATGGCGCGATACTCGAAAGTTGTAGTCACATAGAATTTTTATTTTTATTAAAATTCTGTGAAAATAGACAATAACGAATAAAATGTATCAATATTAAAAACTTTGGTCAATCCAACTTTAAAAAAAAGTCCATTTTAGTATTCATGGGGCATATAATATGACTTCAACATATTTTTAAGTATTTAAAGCTATACCATCCCTCTGATAAATTAATAACATGAACTGTAATTATTGAAGTTACTCACCCTGATTACGTCACCTTCAGACATGAATTGTTTATTGTAGTGTGGCGATCTCTGCAAACTGCATCCTCCTAAATAAAACAATTTTAGTTTTTAATTACATCAAAAACGTTTTAAATATTTACATACAATTATGTCATTATATAGATTTAAGTAAAATATAAAAATTGGGACAGATAGATGTTGGTTTTAGTTGAAAAAACAGCTATTTTTAGTAGGTATAAAAAAGATATGATCACACGTTTTTGTAAGTAATAATTTTGTTCCAGATTTTTATAAAACTAAAACTAAATTCATATTTTTATATTTTTTAAGTTCGATTGTAGTTTAATTCCATTATATTATCATTTTTTTTTTATTTAAGTAAATAGTTATGCTATTTGATGATCAGTGATAATTTATATTTTAGGTAAAATATGTGTTGTTGAATATAATGGTTCAAACATTTGAATAGTAATAGGTCATAATTGGGTATGAAAAATCATTAAAAATATTGATTTAAACAAAAGTTCAAATCAGTAATAATAGTTGATTTTACATTTGTCAGTTTCAATTAAGCACACTCAACGTATAATAATGTAATTTATACATTATATATAAAATAGGTATATTATACTTTAAGTCTTAATTCAACACAATTGGCTTTACAAAATATCTTTCAGGGTTTTGTGGTTTAATTTCAGTAATTATTATTTGGTGGGTAATTTTGAGCATGAAACCACTTAGAATTCATTGTCGAGTGAATAATTATTATTATTAACTCACGCAAAGGAATTTGAGTGGCTAGTGAGAGAGTAGTAGACGCAGTCGTCGAAACCGTGCTGACGGATGTTGTTACAGCAGTGGTCGCCACTGAAGTCGTGGTGGCTTTGGGCGTGGTTACCGCAACGGTCGTGGTATCAGACCGAAATTTTTTGCCGGCTATCAGTACCCTGGCCGTGGTTGTGGTCGGCACGTCCATGGCTTCGGTCGACGGGACTGCCGGCGACAGTGGTCTGACCGCAATCGCCGTAGTCTGATCGTAATGATCGACCGCCACTGCGGTGGTTGTGTGAAAGTGACGCGATAATAATTTTACCGAGTCCTTTATCTTGGTCATATGGAAATCCCTTTGTGCTTCCACTGAAAAATGACAACCCAAAACCGGTTTAAATGCGTATAGTATTATGGTCATCATGGGCGACGACTATTGGGGTGCTGCGGTGCTCGAGCACCCCGTGAAATAAATAAAACATATAAATATTTAATACGTCAATATTATTATACATTTACAATACATGTAGAAATAATAATTTTCAAATAATATATGTTTTGGGTTTTTTTGTTATTTTGGTTACTTTATAGTAGATCCTCAAAAAATAAACACATCCATTATAATTGAATACTATGGCCCTGATTTCGATAGGACAAAATTAGAATTGCATCGCAATATTATGTTAGATGTCGCTAAAGCAAAAAATTTTAATATATCATCAGTTTCAGACGCAATTGATTTTTTTAAAACAAGAAGTGTACTTACAAGATTTGGTACGAGAAATTGTAAAATTAATTAAAATTATGTTAACCGTACAAGTTTCGTCGTGTACTGCTGAGAGTTCTTTTTCTGCTCTTAGGCGTTTAAAAACATTTTTAAGGTCAACAATGACGCAAATATGGCTTAATAATGTAGCATTATTAAATGTACATAAAAAAGAAGAAATAAATATTGAAAATATAGCTAACAAATTTATAAAGACCACCAAAGTGAGACAAAATACCTTTGAAATTTGTAAAGCTATTTTAATTTATTATTAGAAACTTAGAAATTTTATAATACAATAGATTATAAATACATACATTTCATAATACAATTATGTCATAATAATTCATTTTAATTCATTATTATATACCTATTACAAAAAGATTATTTTTGCTTATTTGTATATAATTTGTTTATATTAGGTACATAGTAAAACTATACAAAAAAAAGTCATTAAACGAGTTAACAAGTAATGCTTTGTTGAATTTTTTTTGCATTTTTTGCTCATTACCTACTTCAATCATTTTAGGATTTTGAGCACCCTATGCAAATTTGAAAACCCGGTGCCCATGATGGTCATAATCACCATAACATGATCTGATATTATAATTGATGAAAATTATAAAACAGGAGTTCGTATTTAGTGCATTTACAGCACGAAACATGGTATTTGACACTGATATTTCTTTACTGTTAACATAAAAAAAAAAAACTGGAAATTCTTCACATTTGGCAACAGTTTCAAGAACATTTCAGCTGCAAAAAAAACTTTCCTACAACAGTCCACAACTAGCATTAATAAAATAAAAAAATATCAAATCCCCCAAAATCGATATTTTCCTGTATAAAATCTATAGAGTATATATGTATATATTCTGAGGACATCGCAGGACTGTCATTAAATCGCATACATCATATAAGTCTTTAACCGTTTATTTTTTTTTCTTACATTCGGAAATAAAAATACACTTAAGTACCTATCGTAAAAACGTCCTATGAATATAAGGAATTATATTACTGCTATAGGCTATATGGCTCAAAAACCATATTTTGTCGGTTGTGGACGTGCCAAAAAAAGTAAACTATATACACACGCACTCGCACACACACACACACATACAATGTATGTAACATATATATTTTATACTCTTATGGGGGGAAGTTTGATTCGTATCTTTTGTGGAAAACATTTTTTTATTTTATATAAATAAGAATTAATGATAACAGAAACTACCAACGTATAAGATAATTAATTCAGAACATCGAGCTTATGAGAAGTGTATGACAACGCGGGAATAATAAACGTCAAGATTGTTTTATAGGAACTTGAAAAATTAAAAATGTTTACAGAAAGATAATATTCACAAAATTTATTGATTTTGCGATTTCAAGGAGATCAAAATATGAAAAACTCTTATCATCGTCGTTATATTTAGTTCTACAGAGTCCTGTTCGTATTTTAATTTTATTGATATCTAAATATCTACAGAGAGAGAACAACTTTTATTTAGAAAATATATAGTAGACGGCCTGACATGTCTAACAGGTTGCCTATAGTGACACAGTTTATACACTATACAGAATAAATATATAGGTAGGTACTTACATATAATACTGATTATATCTTATGTCCTTTTACAGGAGGTTTTTTTAATGATTTTAGATCAATAATAAATAATATCATAAAAAAATCTTGTTTCCTTCTTTTTAACTGGCAATTTTTTTATCATCAACATTTTCAACCACTCAGTTGTATTAAGATTTAAGAGCAAATAAGACTTTATTTTTTCAAATAGTTAAGTTATAAATGAATCGCGATAATACAATAATAGTAGGTAGGTAAGTAATTAATATTAAATAATTTTTTGTTTAACTAAAAATAATGAACTATGTTTGTCAAATATTTTGTACCTATGCATTTAACCCAAAATTTAATAAGAATTTTTTTATGGAGTGTGATATTATAATATAACCGATTGAGTGTATATCTATAAATAGATATGATATTATATTAAAATATAGTTTAAAAAATTATATACCTCTAGTGAATGAAATTTAAATCAATTATTTATATTACGAGTATTGATAAATCAATACTCGTATTATAAATATACTAAGCTTTAAACGACTGTAGTTACTAAACTAGTGAACGAAAATCGATAATTAGACCATCGACATTTTCAGAAAAAAAAGCTATACCAAAATACATAAAAAATATGTTTGTTTCTATTTGAAAAAATAAAGTTGATTTTGCTGTTGGTACAACTGCGTGCCTAAAATATTTTAAATTGTGATAAAAAATTGTCAGTTAAAAATAAAGCAAATCATTTTTTCGTTATTTTTTTTTGAAATCCTATGTTAAATCCTATATTGAAAAATAATAATCAATAATAATTAAAATAATTAAAATAGCCACACGAGCAATGACAAGAGGTTTACTGCTACACCCTGTATAATACATAATTCGATAAAATACCTAGTTAATAATTAATCATTTATCTACATATAAATACGTGTATAACAGTTTACATTCTGGTATATTTGTCGTGTTTCCCCATATTGTATGAAAACTATGATTATTTTGTTCTAAATGTCTGTCAAAAAACATTTTTATTTTTAAACTGTATAGTAATTATTATGGTACACACTCGCCTATAGAAGAAAGACCTACCGTTGAGACAATGGAAAAGTAGACCTGACAGATTGACGGAAAAGTGAATAATTTCATTTCCCAACAAACGTTTATTTTAATATTTTATAATTTTTTTTTATATGTGATTTGCGAATAAAATGTCGTTTCAGAAAAGATCCAAGGACAAATTGTTTTTTTCTGTGATTGGTTGAAGAGTAATTATAATCGATGGTATTTTAAAATCAGGCCCCCGACATGACAAGGCTGCAGAAAAAAGTCCATTGAACAAAAAATATATATGATGAGATAAGCTGTTAATCGATCGCTCTGTAAACTATTAACACGTGATAAAAAATACAATGCATACAATTTGGCGGCCAATGAACCGTATCTACCTATCAATCACACTTGTCTGCCAGACACAACAGTTAATGCTAACCGAATGTTTTTAAAGTCCATATGTAAAAATTGCTTATACCATAAATATATATATGAATTAATCTCGTATACAATATTTTAAGCATTAATATATATATAAATAAATTGAAACAAAAATAGCATTTAAACATTTTAAACATATAAATAAACTACAATTTGTTTTTACCTGTGCAAATTCAATTTGATATCATACATATTTATGAATACGCTTATATATATGTTCTGAATTGTACTCATATGCACCTTGTGTATTACATACTTATATTAGACCTTGAATAGATTGATAATTGATAAAGTAATTAGGTATAATACGCGCTTGAATAAAAAAAAGTTGAAATATTTATAAAAGGATTAAGTTATTCATGTACGAAGTAGATACCTCAGTGTCATCACTCATCAAATACTATAGTTTTGTCTCTTGTAATAATTGGATATTGGTTATACGGTTGAATTGAACGGAACGGTTTTTCTCATTCTATGTATTCAAAAAAATATAGTTTTTTGGAAAATGTAACACAAGGTCTATATGTTGTTATAAAACAGTTGATAACTATTTAAGTTCAATTCGCTTGATTTTTTTTTTATAATTATTTAAAGTTCAAATGTTGTCAAAATTTATCAAAATCTTTAAAGTGTTCATATTATTCTAAAAAATTAGATATCATTAAAACCAAACTAGCGGTTTTATTTGGTTGGGGAGGGGGGGGGGGTGACCTACAACCTATTTATTTGGATATTTGTGTCTACAAAGGTTGTATATTTTAATATTTAATACTGGTGTTTATGGATTATAAAACAGCTTTTTTGTTTCTCGATCTACCATTTTGATCTTTACTTTGTTGTTTTGGCTTGCATATCTAAATAAAACTTTCATATAATTTGTTGTAAACGTCCGTCGCATTTTTTGTATGTTTAAAATCTGTTTATTTCGTTGAATGAGTAAGAGTAAATTTCTAGTTTTAAAATTTAATACGTAGATTTTTTTATGCTCGACAATTTTTAGTATAGTTATTTTTTATCCAAGGTATAATTAGCTTTATAGGTGGTAGTATGCATCTGATTTTGTTCTTTTCGTGTATTATTGAAAGTTCCACTATTTTTTTTTTTTTTTGAGGCTAATTTTAAGTGAGAAAAGTTCATGGCAGCGTGCCAGACATGGTTTTACATCTTCCAGTGTAGTATGGTATGGCTGATCGTTTTCACTATACTTGGCCTTTTACTAATATTAAATTTAAAGTATTTAAGGTCATGGATCTAGTGGATTGCTCTTAAAATCAATTCTTTTTTTTTTGACTAGGAATGACAGTTTTTTAATTTTTTTTTTTTTGTTAATTTTTGTGGTACTCTTTCCCTAAGGAAAAAAATTGATTAAAATATTTTTACAGAAAATTTAAAACCAGCTAGCTGTTTTCATTAACCACTGTTCTGAGTTTGGGTGTTGTTTCTTAGATAACTCCTCGGATTGTATTAATATTAGTGACTAATGACTATGCACCGCAAGTTAAAACCATCAGCAAAAAGGTTCACTATTATAGTATTATAGGAATTGTATTTATTCAGTTATGTCGTTATAATATGCGAGTAGAAATAATGTAGAACGTTGATCATTTAGGGACCCAAAATTTACTTGGCTTAAAGTTTCTTCATTACGTTAAACAATTTAAATGTCTGTTGTTCGTTCACTATTAGTATAGGTATATTATTAGTATTATCACATGCAGCATAATAAAAAACTGTGTTATACATAATAATATTATTATTTCATTATTTCTCCATCAAAAAATTGTAATTCTTTCTTCACTTATAGAAACTTAACTACTTTTCTTTACACGCAAAGCTTTAAACTGTAATTATGAATCCGCACGTGATCAACCGATATTGGTATAATTCATTTTTAATACGATCGGTCAATATTCCACTAAAGATCGACTAATGGGTTTGAAATGTTGAATATAACTTTCTTGATGTAAAAACGTTATATTGTGTAATTTAGCTTGTATCCATTTCAGATGATTTAACTTAATATTTTTAGAATTCGAAATCTCCAAGTTTATATTGTTGAGAATCTTGACATGATATTTAGGTATAATTTTTTATAAAATTGAAATTGAATTTTGCAGGATAGTCCGCAGTTGATCTGAATTTTCAGAAACAAATTTGAGTTTTTAAGACATCTCGTAACTGTTCACTATTTCTTAGTAATTTTTGCTATTGTATTTGAAAATTTAGCTAATCCGTATATGTTATTGACGTATTGTATACATTTAGAAAAGTTTAATTTGCTTTTTCCGTAGATTTTGCAGGAATATGAAAGGTATGCGGCCCCTCTTTTTATACGGCAATAGACTTTTGTTTTACATTGACATAACATTTTGTCAATTTCTACGGTGGTTATTTAATTACTTAGTAATCTGATCGAAATTATTGTCAATATTAGATTTGATATTCGTTTTTTTTCTGGAGTGTTAAAGTCATGTAAGAATTTGAGTGGGTATATTATAATATTTTCATTTATCAATACGTGACTCATTTTTGTTCTGTTGTAATATTTTGATTATTTTTGATTAATTGTTTCTTTTGTTTAGTATGTTTTCTTTTTAACCAACTAACTTAAATTCCATACTTCTGATATTTGTTTATCATCAGCTCAATTTACTTTAAGGTCTTATAGACCTATAATAAGTTGTTCTAAGGTAACTTTTTTGTCAAAAAATTTCCTTTGGCTTTTCGTCATTTTGGATCAATTAAATTTTAGTGTAATAGTTAAACGCTTTATTTTCAATCCTTTATTTTGTAGTTCCCCCGGAAAACTCTAGATTTGTGAAAGATTATTGTTCTTCTACAGGATTTTTTCTAATATATTTTGAAGAGTTTCAGCAATTTTATAACTTCATAAACATTGTTGGTAATTGTAATTTCATTCAAAATTAGTTTCTTGATGTCATATTATGCGGGTTTTGAATTAAGATATTTATTAAAAATTGTCAACAAATTGTAATGGGATTTCCTGCAAATTAATAAATCAATGTTTCTGTTTCTTGTATAGGATATATTATTATTGAGTTTGGACAAAAAGATTTTCAATATAAATCTCACATTATTGTTGTATATTTTATACGTTCAGATGTATATGAATATATATAAAATACATAGTAGTAATAATAATAATAACCTTCTCTACCATTAATATTTTTGGGATTCGGTATACCGTATATAACGAGACAAAACTGAGTGTTTCTTGATTGAATATAGATAACAATATTACTATATTATTCACATAATATTGCTATAACTATAGAGTATTAATAAAAATTAATATTTTTTTTTATTAATTATATTGCTTCATAATCATTAATTCGTTATATCAAGTTTTCAAAATAATATAATTTAAAAAAAATAAAAAATTGTATATCTAAACATAGGTGATAAATATTTTATATTTTTTAACCAATGGCAAGCCTATAGTGTAATATAAACGAAAACAATTTTGATTTTCAATAGGGGAAACCAAATTTATGCGTATCCAACACTTAGAGATGCAATTCAGGGATGAAAAGTAACATAATATAATCTTCCCAAGATTTTAAGAATCACATAGAAAACAAAATTAGTCAAAATTACACCTGAACATTTTAAGAGTAGGTACCCTGCATAAAAATAAATCAACAGCTTTATAATATGTTAGTAAAGAAGATTTATAAATATAATATATATTTAAGTGAAAGTTCCATCAAATCTTCTTAATTTATTAATTACGGCTATCTATAAAAAGTAAATCTTTGTATATCACACAACCAATAGTTATCAATAGACATGATTGACTTAAACTTATTTTATAAATTACAAACTTGAATAGTTATTATTACTTTCATTATTCAATTCGAACATAAAAAATGTTATTGTGGTGACTTTGAAGTCTAAATCGACATATTATCAATATCAAATTTTTTGAAAATGATTTTGAAACATAACTAACAATTACATTGGTCACAATCTGAAGATACGTGAACCCTATTAAGTATATTTATGGAAGAATACGGGTTATACAATAGAATTTACATTGATTTTATAATATACAAAATATCTATTGTAAAAACAATGGTACTAATTAGTATCCACTATCCATATTCCATAACAACGAGTAGTTATGAAATTAGAATCTTTAGTTGCTCATTACAAAATAATTTTAACGAAGAGCTTGCTTAGGACACATTCTAGGTATGCAATGACATTGATATCTTATGGAGGATTGGTAAGAGTGTATTTTATCATTTTAAGGATTATTCAGTTCAGATATAATGCTCTCGTGCGCTGCAAGTTTGATCACGGTGGTCAATCTGCTTAGGGAATTCCACTTTCTGGAAAACATAGGTATAAGTGAACCTTGTTTCACTAGGAATACCCTTGGTAGGGAATATGACAAGCTAATAATTGACATTTCCCAGTTAAAAGTGCGAATATTGTAAGGTGTAATTGGTTTTGTAATGAAATGATACTAATGAATTAACTATATTGGCATAATGTCTGGTTTTTTTTTAAAATTCAAAATAAAATTCAAAAGCCGAGATTCATTGTGTATCTTGTTATAAATGCAGTAAAACCACTGTATTATACCACTGTAAATCAAACATTGATGAGTAGTCTTCTAGTAATATGCAGTCATCAACAATGTAAATTAGATCTCAGTGGACATCCACTTGTGCCGTATTGGTTACTCAAATTTTGACTTAATTGTACCATGGTTCAAACGTCACTTGATTTTAGTAAAACGCGAGTCAAGTTTAATTAGCTTGTGTGTGAGTTAGACCTAGGTGTGAGCAATATTCATACAACGAATTAGACATCCACTAACTATGGATTGGACATGCCATTCGATGTATTTTGGTTACACACTAGCTTTTATAATACAACAAATACTTTGAAATCTTATATTAAACATTATTTACTTAATAAAGCGCATAATAAAAAGAAGCTTTTACAGTAATAGTTATATCAGTACTTATTAGTTTTGATAAACATTTAAATAGTGAAAATATGATCACACGGCGTTCTAGATAGGCATTTTAGCTACACCGCAGTCATATGATCGTTTTTTCTGTATATTATAATAAATATATTTTTTAAAGATTGGAACTCTTCAAAGTGTGATTTGAGAAGTTATTTAGTGAAATAATAGTTTAATTCTGGATTAAGTTAATAATACATAATAATGAAATAAATAAAATTAATTTACTCATATTAACATGTTATTAGGTGCAATATTTTATAATTTGTATGCAAATCTAAATATTAGTATATTAACATTTAAAAATTGAAATAAACAACGCGTTTTCATCATGTTATAATTTGTTTTTAATTTTTAACCATATGCTCGATTCAAAAATAAATTAAATTTATTTCTTGTATTTATATTTTTGATATCTACTTTACGCGCGAGTTTAATATTTTTGCGTATACGTACCCACACACGAGTTGAACCAAAACACCCGTTGCCACCCCATGCAGTCGTAGAACTTGGAAGGCGACGTGTCCTTGCACGCGCAATTTGTCCTCAACATCGTCCCCAGTATGCCAAGAATGGATTCGCGACACGTGGATGGCGGCCCCGCACACCGGCTGGTCGTTTGATCCACGGAACACGTTTGTTCGAAAGCTTCGAGTCGAGACCTGAATGAAAGAATATAAATTAAAAATATATTTACGTCTACTAAAAACTAAAAAACATCGATCAATAATTTTTTTTTTTTTTTTAATTAAGCCTCAGCAACTATATGGCCATTGGCAACAAAGAGTTTAACTCTTAATTATTTACATGTTATATAAGTTACATATTACATACTATTGATAAGGTTGGACTTAGTAATAAATGTTATCATGTGTCTTATGTTGTCTGGGTAAAGGGCTTTTGGCAGAATGTTTGAAATGCCTGCTTCTCGTCTATCCGTTTCATATGAAAGGCATTCAGTTATGATGTGTTTGATTGAGAGCGATCAATGAATTGTATGATACTAATAATAATGTAATTTGTTTACTCGTTATGGCAATAAGTACAGTAAGTTTCTTATTAAAAGAAAAATATGATTTATGGTACTTATTATATTATTAGATTTATAACTGATCATCAGTCGTGAATAGTGTGTGAGTTGTCTGTATTGCGTTATGGGTTTATTACTTAACTGATAAAGTGATAACATATGATTTTAAATTTAAGAGTGACTCCTACTTAATAAATAACAAGTTTAAGCATAAAATATAACAGGACCAACCTATAATAATTATGTTTATAATCATCAAGTTGGTTTTGACTTTGGTTACGAATAAATAGCATTTATTTGTTTAATGAAAATAATATGGGAAATTTCCATTATTATATATAGTAATTACTCTATCGATTTTTTTGAAAACTGGTTTTGCTAAAAAATTCCAGTTTTCCCTTAATTTGTTGTTTGTTTCTCCTGTCGCTTTTGAAAACTATTGGGTATTTTAAATTTTTACCTCCCAAAGACATCAACTGAATTCACTTTTATACCAGAAAAGTTGTTCTTGAAGAAAATCGAAGAACTTTTGCTGCAAGAAACCGTGATGACAGAAAAAAAATAAATATAAAAACACATATCATTGCAAAATCGATACATTCATCTATCCTCTCAAAATCTAAAATATAATTTAAACTGTTTCTTTGAGGGTGGTTTTTGGTAGTACATTTTATCTAGATTGTAATTGTTGTGTTTACATTGCTCGTATATTTTTCTTGATGATTGGAAATAACAAAAAAAAAAAGGAATTCTCACACAACACTAATTTTTTACAAAACTGATTTTGTACATTTGTTGTAGGTATTTCAATATTATTAATATTGCATCTTTTGTTAAAAATTTCAATTTTTTTTACGTTTTTGGGAGCTTTTTTAAGACATTTGATGTTTTTTTAAATTATATGCCAAATATTTATGATGTAGACAAATAATGTGAACATTTTAATTTTAAAAAATTTTTCCTTACAGAATTCTAAAAATATCGAATAGGTGAATATTTTAACAAAAAATATCGATTTTAGTTATCTTGTTGTAATTTAAAAAATGTTGTTGTATCATGGAAACTGCTGACCTTGACTTTTAAAATAATATAACTGTAAGAGACAATTTGAGTGGGGCGTTCAGAATATGTGATTTGGTCGAGATATTATGTGCATGGCCTTATTATTTTTTTATGCATTATTATATTGTATTAAAATAATTCAACGTCATTTTTCTACTGCTTTGTATGTTGTTGATGCAGTAAAACACTTTAATAAAAGATATTCTGAAAAATACTTTCTCATGATAAATTAATTATTCGATACTAATAGTTAGTATTTGTTCCAAACGTGCTTTATAACTAAATTGACTACCTTATAATACTTTTGGACAATCAAACAAGCAATGTGTGTTCCACCCGAATAAACCCGAACCCATTTTACGCACGTACTTAACGAAAAAGGACGTTAAATCCAAACTTCAACCTTAACCTCAATATAAATATAATACATGCGTGCCACGCTTTATTATTGGCCATATTTGAATGATAACGTTAATTTTGGCTATCGACGTTTTTTAATGAGTGGTGAACTTCGGCAGATAAAAATACATGTATTGAACTAAAAAAATACATGCACGTTAATAAAATAATATAAATATAACTTAGAAAACATAACTATTCATTTTTTAGGTGTATATTGTTTTTTTAACCTGTAAATATAATAATATGCTGCATAGGTATTGATATCATATTAAGATTTATAAATAGTAGTAGTTTGTTTCTATTCTAAATTTGTATTTTTTTGACAAGCAAAATGTATGTATAAAAAACTAATACAAACTCATCAATAAATTAGACATAGAGACCATAAATGCCCATAGCCGTCTATATAATAACAATGATGGGTACAATAAGGGGCTATGGTTGGTGTTATATGGTTTGATAAATTCCAAAGAGAAAAATATGTACTAACTTAATTTTGTAATTTTTAAGTAAAGTTCTTTTGGAACTATAATAAATAAATAAACATCAATGAAAAATAATACATAAAACATATCATAATTTCATAGAAACAAAATAATAAGGAGGCGTTAATGAATTAAGCAGTACACAGATGAGCTCAATATTCCCAACTAAAGTATACAATCTAAATTGTACTATTTCATTTAAATTACATAATATTACTTTTACTTATTAGAAAAAAATTGTAATTAATATAATATCTAATGGTCTTTTATAAGATGGATGAAAAAAAAATGAATTATTTGTCAAATTAACTTTAAATATATGAGGACTCTTTAACGAGCATAATTTAGGTTCAAATATTTGTGTTTTATTCGAACGTACAGGAAATTATGGATATTAGTTACACCTCGCTGTCGTTATTTTTGTGGACGCGAGATCGTTCATTACTGTTTAGAGGCTAATGTGTGACACTTTTGAAAAATAATGATGATATAAAAAATATTTAAATCGTTTATACACTCATATCAAATTGATTTCTGGTTTCTAAATTGACTCTCGACGTGTTGTGACGTCATTTATCGTTAAAAAGGTATATGCACGCATTGAGCATTAACAAAAAGATTCATATTATAAATATTATATTATTATACAATAAAGTTAAAAATAAAAATTCTCATGACAGCCTTCAGTTATCGTTTACCAAGCAATAACACCAGCAATAACATACTAATGATGCATGTAGAAAAAAAATATTTTCTGGATAATTTTTTTATAATCAAACTCACTTGATTTTTGAAAATATTATTTACTATATAATCCGAAGTGGCTATAACATACAATTTGAAAAAAAATATTTATGTTCGTTTAAATGTTATACTGTTATACCTACGTTTTTAAACTACGATATTATATTATAGCTTGATTGTGGAAGTCAATTTATAAGACTCTCTTCAATTAACTGTAGGCAGTTAATAAGCTGAAAGTAGGGCATGGATTTTTAAGTCATTATAATATAATATTTTTTTATCGAATGCAGAGTTTTTGATTCTGATTACAAAATAGCAGATTTTATAACATACTATTATAATAAAATAAGTTTAAATGTATTCATGTTTACATATTTTCGCAAAGTTTGAAGAAAATGCAAATTTTAAAACATTTTACAAATATAAACACACGTATTGCTTTGCAAATATTTCATATTTTCCATTAAATTGAGAATAATAAATATTGAATGGAGATATAACACCGTATTGTTTAAGATGAGGAAAAGGTGATGATTTTTGGTGTAGCCATGTCGGTTATACGGTCTGCTAGTACTAATTAGAGTAATTATTTGTTCTCGTTCGTTTATGCGTGTTCCCATTCAGAAGTTTTCTTTTTTATCTACTTATTTGAAATTTGAAATACTATTAATAAATAAAACGTTTTTTTGTTAAATATTTCATGCTTAAAACATATAGGTATTCTAGAAAAAATAACAGGACAACAACTTACATAATTTTTCTTTCCATTACTTCAAAATCCACGGCCAAGTTGTAACTTATTATTTAATGTAAAAATAAATCAACGTACATGGAGTAAGTATAGACAAAATCTATTTTTTTTCAAATATTTATTGTTATGATTTTTAAAACTGTGTATACATAAAAATCTTTCTAAATATAAAAATATTTATGAATATTTGTTGTTTACTGAACATCACATTTGTGTGAATAATTAAATCATATTTGATTTTTAATATTTCTGTTGCAATAGTTGGACAATTTTTAGAGATGTATAAAAGAACATTGTCCTACGTGGTATTTTAATAAGCACAGGTAATGAACATTTAAATCATCCTTATATTATAGGTACAAAAAAATAATGTAGAGCACAACTTACTTATCATTCTATTAAAGTGAAAAAGTTATATTTCAAATATTGAAATGTCAGCTGGTACTAAAAAATTAAATTTGAAATTACATCTGATGTGGTGTAAATAGTAGACTAATTTAGTTCACAATTTCAAACACTTAGATCAATCGACACTTTATCGTGGTTATTACATTGAAAGGAGTTTTAAGAGAGAAAGGTTATTTAGGCTATCTGTAAGACTCCGACGATAATTTCTACAAGAAAGCCTAAAGTTATAGTAAGCTGTGTTGTTAACAGATTTTGAAGAAACATAAACCCAGGATTACTAAAAGTATAAAAACAACACAAATAAAGCGGAAAGTACCTAGTTAACCACTCTGGCGTACAAGTGTAAATCGTAATTGAGTAAGTCTCTGAAGTGTATGTGTTAAATTTAAATTTAAAGATAAATAATTACATATGTACTAAAAACGACTGTGAGCGAAAACACACCTAACCTTTAAATTATACATAATATTATTATTGCTATTGACTTTTGAGTCAATGCCAACTTACAGTTACTAAGTAATTATTCAAGTTAAATAAGTTTATGGCATAAATATGTAAAAGTTAAAAATTAATCTTAATGTTTGGAAAATTTCACTGTGAATACAAAATATAATAATATGCTCAAAAATGTTTAGCCTACATGTTTAATATTTTTGAATAATTACCACAAATAACTCAAATCGGTATTCTTTGTTTACATATTACCTTATTTTGTCAACATTCAAAAGTCAGATGTCTAAATAAAAAAAAAATATGAAATTATATTTTGTAGACACAGCA